TGTCTGCCCGTCTAGCTGTCTGTCTGTGCCTGTCTGTCTGTCTGTCTCGCTCTATATGACTGTCTGTTTGTCTGTCTGTATGTCTATGAATGGATCTGCCTGTATATTTGGCTGTCCTTGTGTGCATCTCTCTCTCTCTCTCTCTCTCTCTCTCTCTCTCTCTCTCTCTCTCTCTCTCTCTCTCTCTCTCTGCCTCCGTGGTCGACAAATCTTAAGACATCCCGTGGTCGACACAAAGACATCCCCTAGTCGACTTCCCTTAAGACATCCCCTGGTCGACACATCCCCTAAAAGACATCCCTGGTCGAGCATCCCTAAAGACATCCCCTAGTCGACACGCCCTAAAGACATCCCTATCGACACATCCCCTAAAGACATCCCTGGTCGACACATCCCTAAAGACATCCCCTGGTCGACACATCCCTAAAGCATCCCCTGGTCGACACATCCCTAAAAGACATCCCCTGGTCGACACATCCCTAAGACATCTGGTCGACATCCCTAAAGACATCCCTGTCGACACATCCCTAAAAGACATCCTAGTCGACACATCCCTAAAGGTCATCCCATCCCGACACATCCCTAAAGACATCCCCGGGTCGACACATCCCTGGTCGACACATCCTGGTCGACACATCCCCTAAAGACATCCCCTGGTCGACACATCCCTAAAGACATCCCTGGTCAGCACATCCCCTAAAGACATCCTGGTCGACACATCCCTAAAGACATCCCCTGGTCGACACATCCCTAAAAGACATCCCTGGTCGACACATCCCTAAAGACATCCCTAGTCGACACATCCCTAAAAGACATCCCCTGGTCGACACATGCCCTAAAGGCATCCCCTGGTCGACACATCCCCTAAAGACATCCCCTGGTCGAGACATCCCCTGGTCGACACATCCCCTAAAGACATCCCCTGGTCGAGACATCCCCTGGTCGACACATCCCCTAAAGACATCCCCTGGTCGATACATCTCAAGAGCCACCCCCACCAGAGGGATCGACCCACTTGACGAAACATGAACAGCGACCGCCAGTGAATGAATAAGTCAGAAGTTAATCTTGGCCAGCGGCGGCGTGAGTTATGGGGGAAAAGAAGTTGACCGACTATTTTTTGTTTTCCTTGTTTGGTTTTTATGTGTAGGTTTGGTTTGGTTTGGTTTGGTTAGGTTAGGTTTAGAATTTGGGTGAATAATCTTCAGGTTCCTCCGCGTCAGTAGATGATTAATTGGGTCAGTCAGTCAGTGAACGAGCCAGATATAGAGCTCTCTAGCGTCTCTCAGGTCAACCACAAAAGTAACGCGCCGTCTGAGACTCTCGTTACTGACTCGTTGTTTAGTATACGGGGACAAATATACCAATGGGACTCTCAAAGGAAATTTGATGTTGATGTCAGTTGCCAACAGAGATGTAGAAATTGTAAATAAAAAAGATGGTGATGTAAACAATGTCATTATCGGTACAGGAAGGTTAATACCGTTTTCTGTTATCAATAGAGAAAAATAAACGTAAGATAACGGACTAACATGAACCATAATGGAATTAATCTTTAGTGAACTATTACACCACAAATATTTCCTTGACGTAACAGAACGATCATATCAACTTTTCCACATTTCATCAGAGCTAGAGAGAACGTCCATGATCTAAGGGCATCAGTCTAACAAACACACTCATCTGGAAAAATGCCTGTTCAAGTGTGTAAAAATATATACAGGATCCTTGTCTAAACAACTTTATACACACTGCATTATATATTCTGGTGACGGTCACGCGAATGTGTGATGTCTGCTACAAGTGGGGACAATGTTGCTGCTGTAATACAAACATTCACCTGATCTCCACGAAAATCTGGAAAAACAGGTGTGGCCAGACAGGTGTAGAGTGACTAACACCATCCATTGTTGAGTTGGCAGGGAGGGAGTGTAAGTACGATAAGGTTTAATGTGTTTTAAGCTGTCACGCTGTGCTTTCCGGGAGAGGTTCATTTACACGGACGACAACGAGGCAAGAGACTCAATACTCATCACCATGTCAAAGAGGAACATTTGAATAGAAGAAAAAACTATTGACAACTAACTTACATTTCACTAATAGTCTTTTTACTTCTACACTAATCTCAAATACGCGTCTTTCGCTCTGTTCTCAGAGCGCCATTCTTGCAGCGCTAATCTCAAGTCGACCCACTTTCAATGCTAATCTCCAGAGCGAGACAAGTGCGCTGACCAAAGGGGTGACAGGCTGATCCTTAAAGAGTAAACAGGACAAAGAGAAGACCGAACAAGACTGAGACACATAACCAAACAAGACCGAAGCAGATAACTGAACAAGACCAAAGCAGATTACTGAACACGACCGAAACACATGACCGAACAAGACTGAAACTGATGAATAAACAAGAACGAAACAGATGACCGAACAAGACCAAAACACATACCGAACATGACCGAAACAGATGACCGAACATGACTGAAACTGATCAACAAACAATACCGAAATAAATAACCGAACAAGGCCGAAACTGATGACTGAACAAGAACGAAACTGATAACTGAACAAGACCGAAACAGATGACCGAACAAAACCGAAACACATAAACAAACAAGACCGAAATTGATGACTGAACAAGACCGAAACAGATGACAGACATTTAACATTAAACAGGACACAGAGAAGACCGAATCCACAAGGTGACAGACTTGATGAAAGGACTGAATATTTAAAGGTATTAGTAAAATATGAGATAAATCCCACCCAATCCCTCGGTCTGTGGACATAGGATTTACAGGGGTTTTACGAGTAATCCCTTGTGTGTTGGTGTACAGTGTAGTGTGTTGGTGTACAGTGTAGTGTGTTGGTGTACAGTGTTGTGTGTTGGTGTACAGTGTAGTGTGTTGGTGTACAGTGTTGTGTGTTGGTGTACAGTGTTGTGTGTTGGTGTACAGTGTAGTGTGTTGGTGTACAGTGTAGTGTGTTGGTGTACAGTGTTGTGTGTTGGTGTACAGTGTAGTGTGTTGGTGTACAGTGTAGTGTGTTGGTGTACAGTATTGTGTGTTGGTGTACAGTGTTGTGTACAGTGTTGTGTGTTGGTGTACAGTGTAGTGTGTTGGTGTACAGTGCAGTGTGTTGGTGTACAGTGTGTGTGTTGGTGTACAGTGTTGTGTGTTGGTGTACAGTGTAGTGTGTTGGTGTACAGTGTGTGTGTTGGTGTACAGTGTAGTGTGTTGGTGTACAGTGTAGTGTGTTGGTGTATATGTAGTGTGTTGGTGTACAGTGTAGTGTGTTGGTGTACAGTGTGTGTGTTGGTGTACAGTGTAGTGTGTTGGTGTACAGTGTTGTGTGTTGGTGTAGTGTAGTGTGTTGTTGTACAGTGTAGTGTGTTGGTGTACAGTGTAGTGTGTTGGTGTACAGTGTAGTGTGTTGGTGTACAGTGTTGTGTGTTGGTGTACAGTGTTGTGTGTTGGTGTACAGTGTAGTGTGTTGGTGTACAGTGTTGTGTGTTGGTGTACAGTGTAGTGTGTTGGTGTACAGTGTAGTGTGTTGGTGTACAGTGTAGTGTGTGTGTGGTACAGTGTTGTGTGTTGGTGTACAGTGTAGTGTGTTGGTGTACAGTGTAGTGTGTTGGTGTACAGTGTAGTGTGTGGTGTACAGTGTTGTGTGTTGGTGTACAGTGTAGTGTGTTGGTGTACAGTGTTGTGTGTTGGTGTACAGTGTGGTTGTTGGTGTACAGTGTAGTGTGTTGGTGTACAGTGTAGTGTGTTGGGAGAAATAAACACAATAACACACTACTTTATTTGTTCCTCTCTCTCTCTCTCTCTCTCTCTCTCTCTCTCTCTCTCTCTCTCTCTCTTGCACCCCCTTCCTGTTTTCTCTCTCTACATTTACATTTATATAACCAATGATCCGGATGTGGTGGCAGAGTGGATAAAATACTCGCCTCGTGTCCTAAGGTTCGCTGATTGGGGGTAATTTTATATCATCCCAGCAGTGAATAGGTGCAACCTGACTTGGCAATTAAGGACATGGAAGGTGGTTGAGTACAGTACTTCTTCCCTATGTACAGTCTCCTCAAAATGTATCGGCCTCTTTTCTCATCAATACAATGTGTCACAGTGGACAAATATTTCCGTTCACTAATGGTGGTCCCTGCATTATGTTGGTAGGTCTGCCTTCCTAGTGTCTGTGAGGCTGACAGTGATCATTTGTGGTATTTGTTGTAATTATGGTGAATCATCGTGCTCCATCTTTAATAGAATAATATAATGATTTTAATGTAGCAAAAATATATCAACGACAGTCAAATAGTGGGTGTTTTCTGCTGGGGATCCACGACCAACACTAGTACCCGAGACTCACTGGACAACACAACTTGCACCGACAAACATCGTCTCATAGTGTGTATCAGATAATGTTCCGTTGCCAGCACGAATCATGAGATGATATGTTATATTCAGAATAGTTACCTCATCAATTGAGGTAGAAATAATATCGAAATGCAGTAAATCATAATGTTATTGTAATTAGATATAGCATCATAATACTCCTGCAATTGCTATATTTGCAACTGAATGTAATATCGGTTCATAGTGTTTCATATTTCATTCGAAGCGATTCCATTGTAACCTCGGTTCATGAAAACAGAGTAACGTTATATTCCTATTTGTCAACCCATCCGCTGGGGCTGAAATAGTGTCTAAGGTCCATAAATCAGCGGGGTTACTCATGACGTTATTGGTTTTGTATTATGAGATCATAGTTCATCCTATTTCATTACATTATGTAGAGAATAGTTGGTGATTATAACTCGCCAGTGACTCTACGGTGACTAAAAACTGATTTACGACTCACGGGTGATTACAGACTTAACAGTGGTTCCCGAGAGACTTACCAATGACCAAAGACAAGACTATCTAATACTCAGGACTGACTCACGACTAATTAAAGCCTCAGGAGTGACTAAAAAACGACTCAAAGGTGAGAAAAGGGTGACTCACCTCCCCCACAGCGAGGGTAATGGCGCCGGAGATAATGAGACCAGGTCTTTTGTACTCCTGGTCTTCTGGTAGCCTCTCGGAGCCTGTAAGGTAACCCAGGGTAAAGGTGTGGGCGTGGGCGTGGTGGTAGAGGAGCAGCACCGCCGCCCACGTCGCCAGCCTCGTCACCATCGCCACTCTGTCAGGAAGATAGAAGATGAAAAGTCAGACACAGACAGAAAGATATACTGTTAATGATAATGATAATGATAATAATGATGATGATGATAGTCCTGAAATAATAATGATAATATCAATGGTTATAATGATGATGATTTGTAAATAATAATAATAATAATAATAATAATAATAATAATAATAATAATAATAATAATAATAATAATAATAATAATAATAAGAGCCATCCCAGCATAGGATTATCTAATTATAAAATACAAGTAAAAAGATCCTTAAAATGGGGCAGTTAAAGATATGAATTACCTACCTGGAACAATGGATATAGCTTCAAATAGCCAGTGTGTGGAGGGGGTTGTGAAAGCTCAGCAAAGGTCAACACAGTTCAGGGGTCAACACGGGTCAGAGGTGAAGACAGATCAGGGGTCAACACAGGTCAGAGGTCAATACAGGTAAGGAGGGCCTGAGTACACTGTTCTTGACGTCTCTCTCTCTCTCTCTCTCTCTCTCTCTCTCTCTCTCTCTCTCTTTCCTCCCTCTTTCTGTCTCTCTGTTTCCTTTCTAGTTTGTTCTCGTTCTGTCTATCGTTCTGTTTTCTTCTCTATTCATATCTGTCGATCTGTCTGTCTGTCTGAACTGATTAAAGAAACGCAATCTTTTAAATTGTTCTATGTTGCTCTATCTATATATTCTATAGAGTGACGCACTTTAATGACGCACACTAAATGCTCTTCGCAACGCAATTTAATAACACTACTGTACACTTCACAACGCACTTTAATGTCGCACGTTAATAACACTGCACCGTACACTTCGCAACGCACTTTAATAACTTACTTTAATAACACGGTACACTTTGCGACGCACTCTCTGGATTCCTTACAATACCGCACTCGGAAGTTGCGTCCACACGTGTTTACATTTTGCCGCCAACATGTGATCGGCAAGACGAAATAAACACGTGTGGATGAACATTCTATCTACCTTCTATTCATATTTTTAACAATAATACATTCCAATACCGCACTCTAATAACGAACTCTCCTCACCGCACATATTACCGTATAAAGTCCAGTAACGCACTTTTACCGCACCTTACTAAGAACCTCTAAAGACGATTTTTTTGGCATGGAACACTAGAAACGCACTTTGATAGAATTTTTATCCTAACACAGTTCAACATACCCCAGTAACACACTCTCAGAGCGAACGAACTCTACAGCAGCTAGACACTTACTGCCACCACATGATCGCCTCGACCCCCCCCCCCAGTCAGTCCACACACCACTACCACCACTACTACCACCACTACCACCAACCATCACCATCATTGCCGCCACCATCATTACTACCACCACCACCACCACCACTAACATCATCACCACCACCACCACCACCACCACTACCATCATCACCACCATCACAATCACTACCATTATCACCATCACCATTACCATCAACACCACAGCTACCATTACCACCACCACCATCACTACCACTACCACCACCACCACGACCACCACTGTTCCCATCTCTGGCCAAGCACTAGATAACAGGAGGGAACAACCTACCTTTCCTCATCTTTACATTGTACGACGGTGGTATAAAAGGTCCAAATAACATCCTCACAATACCTTTAATTATAAAGACCAAACAACAGAGTCATAACTCACAATAATCACCAATTCATCCTCTTACGTCACCTTAACACACTCATACTACACATACTCTATACAACACCATATACACCATCTATACATACTCTTAACACCATATACACCATCTATACATACTCTTAACACCATATACACCATCTATACATGCTCTTAACACCATATACATCATCTATACATACTCTTAACACCATATACACCATCTATACATACTCTTAACACCATATACACCATCTATACATACTCTTAACACCATATACATCAACTATACATACTCTTAACACCATATACACCATCTATACATACTCTTAACACCATATACATCAACTATACATACTCTTAACACCATATACATCATCTATACATACTCTTAACACCATATACACCATCTATACATACTCTTAACACCATATACACCATCTATACAGGCTGTGGTAGGGGCTACACCTCCCTAAGCCCCTCTGATCTTCTTCCAATATCTAACCTAACATTCACTAACTAACTAACACAACTCCTGATCACTAATACCACACACAAATTACTAGATGGTCATTACAGATTTACAGTTGCATTTGTTTTTAGGGACCAATGTGTTTTCAAGGTGGTGGTGTTGTTGTGGGGGTTTTTCCGTCACCCTTCCAGTTTTTTGTCACGTAAATGTGTCACTTCGGTTTCATATTCCTGTTCGAAGCTTTGAAAGTTTTATGACCCCCCCCCCCTGTTTAATTGTTTCGGTTTTTTTTGGAGGGGTTCCTATCATATCTTTGAAGTTTCGAAGAGTACCTAGATATCAGGTTCTTTGTAGTGGTGAATGACGTGGTAGATATTCGTGTATCAACCACTGCCATTACTACTATTACTACCACTACCACCATCACCACTACCATCACTACCACCACCACTCCACTTTGCTAACGCACTCTCCAAGCACGCACTCACGCATTCTGTTCCACCTTACCTGATGAGTTTTCGATGGAATATAATCAGCGCTGTCACCTCGTAATGGGACAGGCGGTGGAGAGGGAAGGCAAGATGAGGGAGGTAGAGAGAGGGAGAGTAGGTAGAGAGAGAGAGAGAGAGAGAGCAGAGAGAGGAGGATTAGAGAGAGGGAGGGAGAGAGAGCGAGGAGAGAGACAATCAGTGAGGGAGAAGGAGGGAAGGAGGAAATGGAGAGGGAGTAGAGAGAAGAAGGAGAGAAGGACGCATATATAAAGGGGTGTATAGAGAGGGAAAATGAGGAATAAAGGTAGGAGAAGGAAGAAGAGGAATGATGAGGGGGAGAGGTAAGAGAAAACAGGGAGAAAAGGATGATGATGATAGTGAAAATACACGATGATGATAATAATAATAATAATAATAATAATAACAGCGTAGTACTCGTTCTTTGTCAGGTATATAAAATTGTCGTTATTGATATTTACATTGTTCTTATTATTGTGATAACGAACGATATGACAATTTTAACATTATTTGGATCTGAAGATTTCGTGAGTCGCCCCCCCCCCCTCCCCAGCGTCCCTATCCCCGCCATCTATTGGTTCAAAAAGGCAATTCCTTCTAGTGCTTCCTTGGCTATGTCTGTACAGCAATATGTAGCCAGGGAGCTTCATTAAGGAAGGGTCACTACACGTAACAAATACCTCAAGAAACATCACTCGAGCCAGCCACAGAGACGAGTGACGTGGGGTGAGATCACTATTTCTCCTGTCAAAACAATTTCAACTTTGACGCAAGAAATATGATGAAGGTCAAAGTTTAAAAATATATATGTGGAAGAGCGAGAAGTTTTTATCGTCTTGAATACAAAATGATATCAGAGCACATGAAGAAGAACTTCCACACCATATTTCACTCTAATGCTAACCTAACCTAACCTAACCCAGGTATAGCATAAGGGTGTTTAATCTTAAGGTGAAATAAGCTGGGGTTAATCTTCATGTGATTTAATATCGTACATAAGGGGTTAAGATATTGTAGTCACTCTTCTTACAGGGTTAGTGGCATCCTACTCAGGAGAATATATCTCTAACAAAAATAAAAAAAACAATCCCCCCTAAAAGGCAAGATGATCCTTCACCCCATCAGACGTCAACCACTGTAATTAATCCCTGGGCATTCCTCAAGGGGGTAGACTGTGTCCCACTTCATAAACAGAATCACATCCACTACGAGCACGTCAACAACATCTGGGCCAAGATCCTCGAAAGACTAATACGATTAAAAAGTGTTCTCGTAAAATTAAACGTAAGGTTATAATCTAACTTAATTACATCACAAGAATAACAAACAAAATGGCGTCACAATTACACAGAGACTCGACCTTAATTCACAAGACAAAGAAATGTCTAATAATATAAAGAAATACATAAGCTAGGTATTTCCTCCAGTAATCTGTAATGATGCGCCTGTTTAGACTACGCCAGACGAACGATCGCTCGCCTCATGTAAGCCAATAGCGCTCAATTATGGTAGAGAAGATGAGATTTCTTGAAATTATAACTTGAGGGCCAACTCTCATATTTCATTCCAATACACGTGTGGGCGAGAGAGGGAGGAGGAGGAAGGAAGGAAGGACAAGGAGGAGGAGATAAAGGAAGGAGGAGGAAAGAAAGACAATGAGGGAGAAGGAAGAACCAAGGAGGAGGAAGGAAAGAGGAGGTGGAGATGAAGGGAGGAGGAGGAGATGAAGGAAGCAAGAGGAAAGGACAAGAAAGGAAGGAAGGGAGGGAGGGAGGGAGGGAGGGAGGGAGGGAGGAAGGAAGGAAGGGAGGGAGGGAGGAGGAGGAGGAAGAGCTGTAGGCCACTCATTAGACAGGTGAAGAGAAGCAGGGCTAAACGAAATGACCCTCGAGATAATAAACACACATTCGGGAGAGATAACAGGTGCTGAGAGAAGTTTGAGACGGTGCTGAGAGATATTAGCTGAGAGATATTAACTGAGAGATATTGAGAGGAAATTGAGATATTAACTGAGAGATATCGAGAAGAAAGTGAGAGATATTGAGAAGAATGTTGAGAACACACACACACAACAACAACAACACCAACAGCAGCTAGAGAAGGTACAGAAGAGGGCCTGCAGAATCATGCTCGGCGCAGACTACTCCGGCTACAACAACACTGATTAGCAGTATTTGGCAGTGGGCTACTGTAGTACTGCACCATCCTCGCCATCGCCACCCCCTGCCACCGGCAGTCCCCCGCCTGCCTCGCGCAGTCCGCTACTACAACAAAATTCAGCCCATAAGAGCCCGCACCGATAGATATAAGAACAGCACCATCCCATCTATTGTTAAAATAATAAATAACTCCTGATTTATGTAC